TGGGATAAAAAATAACCATGATTAAAAGGAGATTCAATCTGGTAAATTAAAGCTGAATCGAAAGGGGAATTCATGGGGAAAAATAATGAGAGAGTAGTGGAGAATCGGTTATTGCAGTAAATAGGAGGAGGAAGCATATGAGGAGGAAAATCAACGTGGCGGCGGCACTGGGTTTGTTCCGATGAAAAAACCGCAAAAAAATATAGCGTTAAAAGAAATAAATAGAAAAATTGGTGAAAGAAAAAACGGCGAAAAGAAAATACGCAAAAAGGAGGAAAAGAAAACGGACAAAGAAAACCGGAAAAAAGGTGAAAGAAAAAAAAGAAACAGGAAAAGAAAATAAAACGGAAAAAAACAGAAAAAAAAGAAAACGAACAAAATTAGATGGGAATCGGATACGGTAGTTTTTTTTATTTTCGCCACTTTCTTATGGGGAATCGGACTTTTTTATTTTAGGTTTTTTCTTCTATTTTTTTATTTAGACGGACGATGGAAGCACCTCTTATTTTTTTTAAATAGTATATATATATATATATATATATCTACTACTACTTAAAAAATAAGAGGTGCTTCCATCGTCCGTCAAAAAAACCGGGTGAAAAAAACCGGAACGAATCCGATTCATCAACGCGGTAAAAGAATATGTCCGATTCCACAAAAATAGGAAACAAACTCCCATCTGTTTTCGTTTGAGCTGATTAGGACTTTGTTTTTGTTTGGGCGAATAGGACTTGGTTTGAATTATACCAAGTCCTATTCGGTTAGCATCACAAGGAGAACAAGTGCATATATACATACATAGTATAAAAAATCATAGCACATAACAAAGAATCACATGCAGCCTTATAGCACTTTGCAAAAAAACAAAAAATTAGATCGAAGGGGGTCGCCGCCAGCACACATATATCCAAATAAAAACAAAAAATTAGATCGAAGGGGGTCGCCGCCGCTGCCGCCGTCGCCGTCGCCGTCGTTGCCGAACCGCCGCCGTCGCCGTCGCTGTGGATCCGGTGGAGGGGAGAGCACCGCCGCCGCCGCCTCCCCTCCCGCTAGATCCGCCAGCGGCGGCGGCAGAGGGCACTCTCCGGTGGTGGGGGAGAGCGCCGCCGCCACCGTCGGTGGTGGGGGAGGACTCCACCGCCGCCGCCGCTCGCGGGAGGAGGGGCGCCGTCGCCGCCGCTCGCGGGGCGCCTCCCCACCCGCTAGATCCGCCGCCGGTGGTGGGGGAGGGTGCTGCCGCCGCCGCTCGCGGGAGGAGGGGCGCCGTCGCCGTCGCCGCCGCTCGCGGGGCGCCTCCCCTCCCGCTAGATCCGCCGCCGGTGGTGGGGGAGGATGCCGCCGACGCCGCCGTGGGTGGTGGGGGTGCCGCCGCCGCCGCCATCGGTGGTGGGGGAGGGGCGCCGTCGTCGCCGCCGCCGCTCGGGGGCGCGGAGGAGAGGGCGGCGAAGTGAGATGGGAGGGGGGGAAATGGGCTAGGGTTCCGCGGCTGAGAGGGAGTGGGTTTTGTTTCCCCACTATTGACGCTCGGTCGTCCGATCAAAACCCTAGAGATCGGACGGCCGGTGTCGTCCGGGCCGAAATCGGCCCAAGAGGGATCGAGAGTGAGGCCTCTTTTCCGGCCCAAGCCCAGGTTGCGGCCTGGGGGAGGAAAAGTGCGCCCGCGCATGCGCAAAAGGCCGTGGGCCGACCGGCATAGGTCGGAAATAAGTCTATTGTTGGTCCCTCGAGCCGAAAAAAAGAGAATAAGTACATTTTTAGTGCTCATTTTTTCAGAAGCATTACAATTATAGTTCTATTGAATATGTTTATTTCGAAGCAAACCTATAAGAAAGTATTTTCTTTCTTTTTCCAATTAAATAATTGTTAAATGATGTTTGTATTAATAAAATTAGCAATTAAGCTCTGAAAATTCCAATAAAATTCCAAAGAGCGTAACTAATTATGGAGAATTTAATAAAATTAAATTTAACCATGTCATTTTATTTAACCATGGAGAATGGAGAATTTTACTTGTAAATTTATTTAATTATACACATACCTACTTAAAAATACCAAATATTTCAGCGAATTTGTATTTTAATTAATTGCATATTTTTCTGATCTGTAAACTTCCCGGTGCAACGCACGGGCACTTTTGCTAAACCAAACAACACTTTTGGTCAATATACACACTCTGTAATCACCCGGTGCAACGCACGGGCACTTTTGCTATATATATATATATATATATATAAAGAGAGAGAGAGAGAGAGAGAGTAGAAGTAGATTTTGTTGATGTCATAGTGTAAATCTACATCGGAATCGAAATTTTACGAGATGATATATGATCATTGTATCAATATTGTCAATTTAGTTTATAATTTCTAATAAATATTAGTTTGATATTTGTGGTGTGTAGCAAACAGGTCAGATACACAAGTGATCACACACTTGGGTTGAAAAAAAAACTATTCTAGAAGGGGGAAAAGCATGCATCAGTTCTTATACAGATTTAGGGACAGCTAGATATTGATATTATGAAATTATTTAATAAACTTATATTTTTTTCCTGAAATTTCAATTTGTGGATTTGAATTTGTTTTTTTCCCTGGCAATGTCCATGGCCATCCATCTGGCCTGTTGCGTTGTGTAATTAAATCTTTGCTTTCTCCTAACATATCGACGTGCAATTTGTTTGCGTGTTCACATATAAAAGAAGAACGTATCCGTGAAAAAAGAATTTGGAAATTTGTAAGAGATCTTATAGACGACGGTGAAGTACCAGTAGAAATTTGTAAGAGATCTTGTAGACGACGGTGAAGTCCAATTCTCATACGTATAAGGCCATTAAGCCCAAACTAATGACGATTGACGGTTCGTTAATCCCATAGCTTAGAACAGATCGACACCAATTGCTACCTAAACTAATTACGATGGCCGCCGACGACCGCCTGTCCGTCCTCTCCGACGACCTCCTCCGCCGCATCCTCCACTTCGTCCCCTCCAGGGAGGCCGCGTCCACCAGCTTGCTCTCGCGGCGGTGGGGCTCGCTCTGGCGCTCCACCGGCACCGTCAACCTCGCCGTGCGCGTCGTCTACGACGATGTCTCCGGCGACGACGAGGCCTTCTCATCCCGCCGCGACGCCTTCGTCCGCGCCTCCCAGGCGGCGCTTGCGGCCGCCGCCGCCGGCGCCGGCGTCACCAGGCTCACCCTCAACGTGGCGGGACGCTGCCTCTCCGGGGTAGACAAGTTCCTGAACTACGGCGGCGGCGGCGGCGGCGAGGAGATCGGCATTGTCGACGCCGTGGTCTCCCACCCGGCGGCGCGCCATGTCGAGGAGCTCCGCGTAGGCGTCGCGGGTCCCATGTACCGCACCGACGGCGCCGAGCAGCGCCCCTGGCAGGAGGCCAGACGATGGAGGAGCGACGACATCTACACCTACACCCTCAGCTTCGCCTCCCTGCCGTCGGCGACACTCCGGGTGCTCGACATCACCGAGTGCAACTTCAGCGACAGCAAGCTCGCTCTGCCGGACGCTGGCGTCGCGTTCCCGCGTCTCGACACGCTGCGCCTGCGGCTCTGCGCCGTGAGGTTGGCGCACCTGCAGCGCCTCATCGACGCCGCGCCGGCGCTCGCCACCGTGCACCTCGAGTCCGTCTACTTCGAGTTCAACATATACCTCGACTACTACGGGGTCTACGGCGGCCTCGTCGCCGTAGAATCGCGCCTCCTCCTCCGCTGCCCGGCGGCCACCGAGCTCGCCATGGAATTCTGCGGCTCTAGTAGCTACATCAACTCCCACCTCGACGGCGGCATCGGCATCGACGCCCCGAAGCTGCGCTCCTTCAGGTACACGGGGCATCCCCGGCGATTCTACCTCGAGTCGCCGGCGCCGGAGATGACGGCGGTGAACATTCACTTCATCGACGGCGACCACAGATTCGCCGACAGACTTTGGCGATTCTTGGGCAACTTCACCAACGTCAAGATCCTCAAGTTGACGGTGCAGGAGCTCGGCCACCTCGCCGTCGCCGGCAAGGCGAGGCGAGCCGAGCTCCTCTGCAAGTTCGGCAACCTCGAGCGCCTCGAGCTGGAAGCAGTGAGGAAGCCGACGAAGACGAAGGCGCCGGCGCCGCCGCCGGCGGTGGCGATCGCCAACCTACTCCATTGCTGCCCTGCTCTGGTCGACCTCAGTCTGAAGCTCAAGATGCTCAACTACGCATGGTCGAAGAATAATAGTATGTACTTGAGTTCATTTCATGCGAAATTCAAGCCAGATTTCGACAAATCCGTTGGTCTGTTCATGCGTCACAAATCGAAGATGACAGCGGTTTCATCATCCTTGATCGATGAACACCATGATGATAAGTTTTCTAACATCTCTGGATTGAGTGGAAAATCATTCGCCTGCTTGAATAGAAGTCTCAGAAGAGTAAATCTGCAGTTTCAGTTGGGTTCGGCCTCCAACTGTTTTGGAGTCCGGCTTATCAGATTCTTCGCTCAAAATGCGATGGTTTTGGAAGAAATGTGCATCGACAGTGGTAACAGAAAACTCTGTGAGCACATGAATCTCAATGTTGAAAGATGGGTTGGAGTTGATTCGTCCAAGATTCGTTTGAAAGACAAGAATTTAACAGGGAGTTCATGGGAGTTTTCAAGAATTCATCCAGATTCGGCACCAGAGTTCGAGAGGAATGCAACAAGCTTTAAGGTGTTACCCCTTGAAAGACGATGATGATCGTGCAATTGTTACCCATTGATGGTAGTAACGATGAATATAAGATTTGCATCTGATAAATAGTGCAATCAGTTAATTCAATTACTAGAGGACTATGATATTTTGAAGTTTGTATTATTTGCAAGGGAGTTTTTAATAAATACTCCCTCCATTTCATGTTATAAAATGCTAGTCAAACTTTATTAAGTTTGATTAAGTTTATAGAAAAATTTAACAACATCTAAAATATAAAATTAGTATAATTAAATTTAACATTTAATATATTTTCATAATATGTTTATTTTGTGTTGGAAATACTAATATATTTTTCTATAAATTTGGTTAAATTAAAGAAGTTTGACAAGAAAAAAAAATCAAACAAAAAACGGAGGGAGTACATAACAAGATGCAGATGATCAAGTTGTGCTTTTCGTGACCTTGGCCTGAAGCTGATGACCACATGGCCTGGACCGGCTTGTGCACGCTGGAATTTAACATGTACGTCTTAACTAATGCAATACAAGAATAAAATGCCCCAAAGGCAATGCCATTATCTAGTGAATACTGGCAAAGAGGAGGAAGGTCCTTGCCATAGTTGTTAGGATAAGTTGTTTCAAGAGGCATCACATCTCTTGAACTCCGGCGGCGGTGGAGGCAGGCTCGTCTCCGGTGTTGGCCCATCCTCCACGATGAACGCCGTCGCCATGCCCATAATGATGTGGAACTCAAAGTGACAGTGCAAGTACCACATCCCTGTTAACAAGAACAAAACAAACAATGACACATCAGCCACTCTTTTCACCCAATTCTTATACCTACCAACTTAAAACGACAAAATAATATCATGTTATATAACATAATAGTGAATTCCTTATATGCCATTGAACGTTTACCTGGATTGTCTGTGATGAAGCGGACGGCGGCCCAACCACCGCGGGGAACCAATATGGTGTTCCTGAGCTGAGGGTTGTGGTAGTTGAACTTCCTGATGTCCCTCTTGGCGTTGAAGCTGCCAAGCCCCTGCGCAAGGAGGAAGACGTCATAGCCATGGAGGTGCATGGGGTTGGAGTCACTCATCAACAACGTGCTGCTTTGGAAGATGATCTCCACTGATGTGTTATACTTGAACCGTTTCAGCTTGGTCGCCTTGAATGTTGGCTCCAGCACCTCTTCGAGAGGGCCAGGAGGGATGAGAGCAGGGTTGGTGTAGTTGTATGGCCGTGGTGGCCGAACGGGGAAGTCCTCCGTGTAAACGCCTTCTGGAGTGCCGTCGTAGTAGCGCTCGAGGAGCGCAGTGGTGTTTGGGTGGGTGAAGGAGACATTGTTCATGGTGGCCACCTCGATGGTCTCCAGGCTGCGCTGCCGCTTGCAGGTGGTGTTCCGACCACGACAGATGGTACCAAGCCCAAGGATGATGAAGATACGCTCGTCGACGTGCATGGGCACACGACGATGCTTCGGATGCATGAGGCCAGTAAGATTGGCATGGAAGTAGTAGGATGGCATGGTGTTGTGTTGGTTAGGCATGATCGGCATTGGGACCGGTAGGCCATTGTTGTTGGCATCGACACCGGTGTAGCGGACGAGGCCACGAGAGATGTACTTCGGGATCTGTGGGTCTGGCTCCGGTGGTTGGTTAGCCAACGCGATCATGTGATAGTGGGCTGGTGGGGCGTCGGCGACCATGAGCACGTCAATGGCCTCGCCGGGGGCAACGGTGACCATGTCTGTCTTGAACGGCGTCAGGTAGTTGCCATCAGCGCCAACCACCGTGAACGTGTGGCCGGCGACCTTGAAATAGTATTCGGAGAAGAATGCAGTGTTGATGACCCGGAGAAGGTAGCTCTCCCCATGCTTCACGTTGAGAACAAAGCTCTCCTCCACTATGCCGGAGCAGTTGCTAAGGTCGCCAAGCTTCCCGTTGATCGTAGCCGACAACGGGTTGTCGTCGAAGTTGCCATCCCTCATCCTCCTGTCCAGCTCAACGAGGTCGAGCTCCCACCATTCACCTACAATAACATGGTATTCCTTAGTCAGTAGGTTCACAAAGTTGTGCCATCCATCCAACCAAACAGGTTTGATCAATCAACTTTCAAGATTGACCGATGCATACTTCAACGGTCAATCAGGACTGTCCGTTACCTATGATGATCGGTACATCCTTGACGGGTGTCGGGAAGGGGTACTTCCCATCGCGGGGACGGATGATGAATGCGCCGTTGATGGTGGAGCGGAGGCAGGTGACGTGGGCGTGCCACCACAGCGTGCCGACTTGGTCGGTAACATTGAAGCGGTAGGTGCGCTCACTGCCAGGCGGGATGGGGCACTCGGTGATGAAGCCTGCCCCATCGGCCCAGCAGCTCCTCAATTGGCGAACACCGTGCCAGTGGATGGTAAGCCCATGTGGTATTTTGTTGACGACGTGGATGACCACTGTGTCACCCTCTGTCACGTCCACCGTCGGGCCCGGTAACTGCCCATTCACCACAAAGATCTTGGTCGTGTTGCACAAGTGCGTCACGTTCATCTCGTGCACCACGAAGGTGTGCTCCACCACCCCCGCCTCGCCGCCGACCGCTGCCACGGCGAGAACCGCAACGGCGACGGTGCAAAGGAGAGAGGCCACCATGGTGGTCTGATCAGCTATTAGCTGTTAGAACCAAGCTCAATTATCTTCATGGATTTTCTGATGAAGCCATGCTTCTTTGAGGACAGGTTTTGGGGCCATATTTATAGACACAACTAGGCCACTGTATTCCTGGTGGGTGAATAGTCACTGTGATGGCAGTGGATCCCATGATGGCGCTCCTGACCTGTCGTGACCCATTTTCTTGTTGCAATGCAAAACAACCAAGCCCATATATATGCATCCGATTGATTAGTAAGGTTGGGAAGGGGAATTCTAGTGCAGGTACGTGTCATGAATGCGTCCGTATTGTGGTGCGTCGCTGATTCAGGAGTGCGATAGGCAGAGGCAGGTCCACATAGGCAGTCATGGCGAGCCGGAGCGATCGAGCGGAAGAGCCATGGTTCCTCGAGGGATCAAAATAGTTTCCTGAAATCACGGCTCCTAGAGTCGATTGAGCTGGTCATTATTTGATTAGTCTGTTGTCCACATGTTGGTCATCTGGAAGGGGGCTGCTCAGTAGGCGGACTGTACCTAGTCTCCATCAATTATTTTTTTCAGCTTGATATGCGTGTGAAGTGGGGTGTGCTATATAATTATAAAATGAACATCAATAAGCATCATTACTTGATTTCGTTGAATTTTCTCGGAATATATAGCCCGTGCTGAAATTCTGCTGCGTGGGTACTCGATTATATAGGATATATCATAATTCTATGTTCCTAGAATTTTCAGTTTTCTAGTAATTTAAATAGCATATAAGATGAAATCGCTGTAATATTCATGTTTAGGTAGGTCACATAATCCAACAGAGGGACCAATTGCGGACAGTTGGGCCTGGTGATAAAATTGTGGCCCACTTAAGCTAATTTAGCTGCAACTGATCCCTTCAAACCCTCGTCCTTAAATCCATAAACCAGGAGCATATATGTGAGCTTATTGATCCAGTAACGGCAAATTGGGATGCAGAGATGGTTAGGAAAATTAACCTTCCAAACGGCTGATGCTAATTTAATCCTCTCTATTGTATTCCCCTGTGCGATAATATATATGGATGACAGTGTAGCCTGGCAGGCATTTTGGCGTGTGTTTGGTTTGGGGACAAAGTGGGATGGGTTAGACCTATCCCAGTTTTTTAGGATGGGATAGTTCCAGTTGTCTGTTTGGTTTGTGGTATGGGATGGTTATAGTTTTTTGTTTGGTAGAAGGGATTGAGGTGGGATGGGATGGAGAACTTTCACGGACCGTTAGGGCCGTCTGGCTCCCAGCGGCTACCTCGCAGACGAGCGGCGGCGGTCGTTCACGGAGGCGGAGGAGGTTGCAGACGAGGCGGCGGCTGGACGCGGAGGCGCGCGCGGCGGCGGTCGCGGACGAGGCGGCGGCTGCGCACGGAGGCGGAGGCGGTCGCGGAGGCGAGGCGAGGCCCAGACGAGCGGCGGCGGTCGGTCGCGGAGGCGGAGGCGGAGGCGGTTGAGGACGAGGCGGCGGCCGGACGCGGAGGTGGCGGCGGTCGCGGACGAGGCGGCAGCCGCTCACGGAGGCGGAGGCGAGGAGAGGCGCGGATGAGCGGCGGCAGTCGGCCGCGGAGGCGGAGGCGGTTGCGGACGAGGCGGCGTCGGACGTGGAGGCGGCGGCGGCCGCGCACGGAGGCGGAGGCCAGGAGAGGCGCGGACGAGCGGCGGCAGTCGGTCGCGGAGGCGGAGGCGGTCGCGGACGAGGCGGCGGCCGGACGCGGAGGCGGCGGCGGTCGCGGATGAGGCGGAGGCCGCGCACGGAGGCAGATGCGAGGAGAGGCGCAGACGAGCGGCGGCAGTCGGTCGTGGAGGCGGAGGCGGTTGCAGACGAGGCGGCGGCCGGTCGCGGAGACGGAGGCGGTCGCAGACGAAGCGGCGGCTGGTCCTGGAGGCGGCGGCGGTCGTGGGGGCAAGGCGGCGGCGGGCGCGGATGAGGCGGCGTCGGTCGCAGACGAGTGGCGGCAGTCGCGGATGAGCTGACGCCGTGCGCTCGTCCCAGGTGGGACGAGTTCGTCCGGCTCTTTTTCCCGGATCGATTGGTCCCGGATCTGAGAGGAATATTCCTCTCCAGGGACCAATCCATCCTACCCACCCCTCAACCAAACACCCCTAAAAGTGGGTTCGTCCCATCCCATCCCATCTCATCCCAGCAACCAAACACTACCTTGATTAATTTGAAAAGGGATGTCAGTGTCAAATCATGTAAGGTTTGCATCGATGATGGAAGCAGTGATTACGGGATAGATTCAGGTTCAACTGTTCATTGCCCGAAAACAGGGACCTCTTTCCTGTGGAAAAAGAAATAGTTCATATTATATGAATCTCAATAATTTAAACACATTACAAAAATAACAAAGGAAGCCCAATTACTAAGAAAAAAGAAACATGAGAAGAAAGTATTAGACACAACAGAGTATGTACATAAGCAACATACTATATTTTATTTTAAAATGTATGATACTGTTGACTTTTTCATAATGTTTGACCATTCATTTTATTCTTAAATTTAGTATAAATACTTTAAGGCTGTAGTTTCTTATATGATAAAACATGTCGTCATATATTTTGATATGGAGAGAGTACTATATATAAATTTTCTTTTTAAAAAAATGATATGGGGTACGCCCCTATCATCGGATGGCGTTAGCAACACTGTTATCAAGGTAATAAATAGCGTTCGTAGCGCCCGCAATAGCGGTAGCGGACTGAAGATAGCATGTTGTAACTTAGCGCCCGATATAGCACTTCGTTACCGCTATAGCAGCCCGTTATAGCGCTTCGCGATCGCTATTGACTTTATTGGACCGTTATAACGCTTAAATGTTGTTCTTCATATATGGATATATGAATTGTAAAACTTTACATTGTTTATTTTATTTATCTTATATATCTATATGTTATTTCATATTTTTATGTTATGAAATATATGAGTAATTAAAAATGTATTATAAATTCTAATATTTAAGTGAAATTGATGATAATATTGATATATTTATGGTTATTTTCTTATATTTGCTATTGGAACTTAGCGTCCGCAATAGCGCCCACTATCCGCAATCCGCTGCACGGACACTAATCCGCTAACAACCCGCTATACGCTATTTATTACCTACTGCATCCCCGAAGGTCATGATTTCTTCACATATGGGAGATATCAATCAGGGCCAGCCATGCCTGTTGGCGAATTTGCAGATTTTGGGATGGATGTTGGTACGGTTTCTCCATCACCCCTTGCTAATGTTGGTGGCAGTCAACCTAGATGGAAGAAACCGGGAGAGGGATACCTGAAGATAAATGTTGATGGAGCCTTTTCAGGAATAGCACAGAATCTGGTGGCTGGGGCTTCATCATCAGAGATAGCCATCGCAGTCTCAGCGGGGTCGGGCAACCTGCAAAATGTTTCTGAACCGTCTCAGGCAGAGGCAGAGGCAGAGACCTGCCTCCAGGCCTTCAAGTTTGCTTCAGATGCTGGTATATATGGGGAGAAATACTGAATTGGAGACTGACGCAAGTATGTTGTGTTTCGATTTTGCTATAAATTATACTAAGTTTTCTCCCAAAAAATGTTAAATGTAAATACAATATAATTGTTGCGTTGCATATAACTACAATTTAATTTGAATATAACTTTTCATACAGTTCTAAACCATTAGATTTAATTTAAGATTCGTGCATGTTGGAAAGAAAAAGATCATACACAGTGCGAGCGGGTGAGGAAATTTGGTCTCGCGACTTTCGCTTCATGCAAATAACGTGTTGTTGTAGGACTTTTGAAAGTTATACACAAAATACATTGTAGCTACATGCAGGTTACACTATAACTACATTATAATTATTTTACATTTACATCTGATAATTTTTTTCCGAGTAAATTTGTCGATAAATATATATAGCTAGTCCCGTGTGCTTAGCCCTGAACCGTGCCAACTTTGACGGAGCACAGAAGAATGGTGTTCTCTTCCTGGAGATCAAATTCGGAATGCTCCTCCACTGAACATCCGTTTCGAATCTCCTGCCCTGCACGTCATGAACTGCGCCAAAGACCACCCATGTCCCATGTCAACCGCTCGCCGGCGCCGGCACCGCCACCGCCTCCTTCCGGCGGTTGGAGACAATCACAGGCGACACGCGCGGCGAGCAAACACGCACGCGTCGCGAAGGCGTTCGATCTGGCAGCTCATCCACAAAGTTCAGCAACGCGAGAAGGCACATCGACGCTAGCTGAGGCTTGACCACCGGCTCAACGCCATCGCCGGCGAGAAGAGCCTCGGCGCGGCGGCTCTCGTCAACCTCGAGCTGGACTGGACCTACGGCACAAGGGTTCCAGCCACCGCCAGGTTTAGCCGATTTGATTGGACCTCACCAATTCGGTCCGAAATTTCCAAAATTTTAAACAAAATTTAGTTGAATTTAAACAAATATTACCAAAATTAAAAAAAAATTCGGCCGAAATAATATTGTATCGGAGAGGTCTAAAATGACCGAAATTTCAGAAATTTCGTTCCGAAATTTACAGCCCTGGCCCTAACCAGCGCAGTGCAGCGGCGATGACGAGAGCCTGCTCGATTGGTGCACTTCGGTTCGTCACCCCCTATCAAGTTGACCTGCGTAAGGGATTTTGCAATTTCCGAATTAGGAAATTTTTCGCCCCCCACCAACGAGCACATATCTCGTCCAATTTTTTTTTAATTTTTTTAATTTTTCTGAATTTAGTCAAAATTTAATTAAATTTATTAAAATTTTTCAATAATTTCGTCGAAAAAAGTTCCAAAATTCCTGAAATTTTGGTGGCAATCGAAATTCTGAAATTTTGTTGAAAAACAAAAGTGTAAAAATAACGCAAAGGCTACCAAGCAATTCATGAGCGCAGGTCCGTCGCTGGGCCTGTGAGACTGCAACTTGCATTGGGTTTGTCGTCGGTAGCTAGGTGGGCCTCATTCTGCATTGTCGCATCCCATGCAGCCCAGCTACATAATGAGCCCAGCCCAGATGACAACTTGCCATCACGCCTCCGCCGGCCGCCGCCGCCGCCGCGATGGATGCCGGCGACGGACGAGGGGACGGCGTCGACCGTCTCAGCGATCTCAGTGGCTTCCACGGAGGCGGGCCGCGCTCTCGACGCGGTGGCGCGACGTGTTCGCCAGCGTCCACACCGTCTCGATGACGAGCGTTCGTCGGCATGGGCGTCGGCGCAACACACATATCCTGCCCGGACAACGGCAGCGACGACGATCGATGACGACGACGACAACGACCTCACCACCATGTCCTCCGAATCCGAAGACGACGGAGATCGCAGGATCTCTCGTCTCCGTCTTCCTCCTGTTACCGCAAGGGTCGCCCCGCAACCCGGCGGCGCCAAGGGCGCCATGCCGCGCCATGGGCGTCCGTCTCTCCGTCTCCGCTGCCCGGCGTCGGTGACCAAGCTCGCCATGGCGAACTGCCGCTGGAAGATGAAGAACGCCCGGCGTCGGCGTGACGGCTCCGAGCCCTGGACCTCGACGCGCCGGCGCTACGACACTTCGTCTACAGGGCTTCGTCCTCCACCTCTCGCTGCGATCGTGAGCTCCGGACATGGCGGCGCGAGGTAGACCTGCGCCTCGTCGACAATCGGAGCCGACGCGTCGCGACGGCGTTCTGGCAGCTCACCCACAACGCCATCGCAATCGCCGGCGAGGAGAGCCTCGGCGCGGCGGCGGTGGCGGCTCTCGTCAACCTCGATCGCCTCGAGCTGGACCTACGGCACAATGCACCGTGTTCCAGAAAGCGCAGCGCCGTGGCGATGGCAAACCTGTACAAGAGAGACTACTCATCACGATCTCTTCTACTACAATTCAGATATAAACTCGATTTCGACAAGTCCGTCGATCTCTTCGTGCACCGGAGTTCGAAGCCGAAGCTTTCTTTGGATGACGATGATGAAGAAGAAGAAGAGGTTTCTGACATTGCTGTCTTGAGTGGCCAATCGTTCGAGTGCTTGCAGAGCACTCTGAAACGAGTGAGCTTGCAATTCCGAATGGAGATCGAAGACCAACTGCTTTGGATCGCAGCTTGCCAACTTCTTCGCCGAAAACGCCATGGTTCTTGAAGAGATTAACGTTGATGATGGGAATCAGTAAATGTGCAAGCACATGAATCGCAGGGTTGGAAGATGGGTTGCCGATTCACGCCAAAAGGAGAAAAATTCAGAGAGATTTCACAAGTTCAGAGTCTTAGGCTGTGTTTAGTTCCACGCCAAAATTAGAAGTTTGAAGAAATTGAAACGATGTGATGGAAAAATTAAAAGTTTATATGTGTAGGAAAGTTCGATGTGACAGAAAAGTCGGAAGTTTGAAAAAAAAAAGTTGGAATCTAAACATGGCCTTAAACTCTGAAGTCTGAAAGTTCAGAGTTAACTCTGACCTCTGAAGTACCCCAGAATTGACAGGTGACTTTCTTCATAAATAATTGTTCTCTTCTTCATAAATTAAATCCAAATGGATTTACTTACACTTTGCCACCTTACAACAATGAATACCAAAAAAGAATAGTAAATCTCTTTTACAGTAAGAATAATCATCACCAATACAATGCATACTACAAATCCATGCATTTTTTATTTTTTATTACTCGTAGCAGTAAAAAATTTGGACTTTCTCTTCAAAACCCTCATGGTTGACTCAGACCATTGTTGCCACATCTCTTGAACTCCGGTGGTGGTGGAGGCAGGCTCGTCTCTGGTGTCGGCCCATCCTCCACGATGAACGCCGTCGCCATGCCCATAATGATGTGGAACTCAAAGTGACAGTGTAGGTACCACATCCCTGCAAACAAGAACACAACCAACAATGACACATCAACCTCTCTTTTCACCCAATTTTAATGCCTACCAACATAGAACAACAAAAAATAATATCATATCTTATAACGCGGTCATAAATTCCTTATATGCCACCGAAAATTTACCTGGATTGTCTGTGACGAAGCGAATGGCGGCCCACCCGCCACGTGGAACCTGCACGGTGTTCCTAAGCTGCGGGTTGTGGTAGTTGAACTTCCTGACATCCCTCTTGGCGTTAAAGTTGCCGAGCCCCTGTGCAAGGAGGAAGACATCATAGCCATGGAGGTGCATGGGGTTGGAGTCGCTCTGCATCAGCGTGGTGCTCTGGAAGATGATCTCCACCGATGTGTTGTACTTGAACCGCTTCAGCTTGGTCGCCTTGAACGTCGGCTCCAACGCCTCCTCGAGCGGGCCGGGAGGGATGAGATCACGGTTGGTGTAGTTGAAAGGCCGCGGCGGCCGGATGGGGAAGTCCTCCGTGTACACGCCCTTCGATGTGCCGTCGTAGTAGCGCTCGAGGAGCGCGGTGGTTTTCGGGTGGGCGAAGGAGACGTTGTTCATGGTGGCCACCACGATGGTCTCCGGGCTGCGCCGCCGCTTGCAGGTGGTGTTCTGGCCACGGCATATGGAGCCGAGCCCCAAGGTGACGAAGAGGCGCTCGTCGACATGCATAGGGACACGATGGCGCTCTGGGTGGGCAAGGCCGGTGAGGTTGGCGTGGAAGTAGTAGGACGGCATGGTGTTGTGTTGGTTGGGCATGATCGGCATCGGTACCGGGAGGCCGTTGTTGTTGGCGGTGGTGCCGGCGTAGCGGACAAGGCCACGAGAGGTGAACACCGGGATCTGCGGGTCCGGCTCCGGAGGTTGGTTAGCCAGCGCGATCATGTGGTAGTGCGCCGGTGGCGCGTCGGCGACCATGATCACGTCGATGGCCTCGCCAGGGGCGACGGTGACCATGTCCGTCTTAAATGGCGTCAGGTAGTTGCCATCGGCGCCGACCACCGTGAACGTGTGGCCGGCGACCCTGAAGTAGTATTCAGAGAAGAGTGCAGTGTTGATGACCCGGAGAAGGTAGCTCTCCCCGTGCTTAACGTCGAGGATGAAGCTTTCCTCCACCATGCGAGAGCAGTTGCTGAGGTCGCCGAGCTTCCCATTGATCGTCGCAGACAACGGGTTGTCGTCGAAGTTGCCATCCATCATCCTTCTATCTAGCTCGATGAGGTCAAGCTCCCACCATTCTCCTACAAATGGGATGATACATATTTCTTAAGTAAGTGGATTCGTAAGTACCGAAATTATTCCAACCAAACAAATTCAATTAATCAACGGTCAAGATCAACCGGTGCATAGGTCAACGATCGATCTGGACCGTTCATTACCTATGATGATCGGCACGTCCTTGGCCGGTGTCGGGAAGGGGTACTTCCCATCACGAGGGCGAACGATGAAGGCACCATTGATGGTGGCCCGGAGGCAGGTGACGTGGGCGTGCCACCACAGCGTGCCGACCTGGCCGGTGACGTTGAAGCGGTAGGTGTGCTCGTTTCCGGGTGGGATAGGACACTCGGTGACAAAACCAGCCCCATCAGCCCAGCAGCTCCTCATCTGGCGGACACCATGCCAATGGATGGTAAGCCCAAATGGCAGCTTGTTGATGACATGGACAACCACCGTGTCGCCCTCCGTCACGTCCACCGTGGGGCCCGGGAACTGTCCGTTCACCACGTAGATCTTGGTCGTGTTGCACAGGTGCGTCGCGTTCATCTCGTGCACCACGAAGGTGTGCTCCACCACAGCCGCCTCGCCGCTGACCACCGCCACGGCGAGAACCGCGACAGTGATGGCGCAGAGGAGAGAGGTCACCATGGAGAGCTTCTCCATGGTGATCTTACCAGCTCCTACCTATAGAACCAAGCTGAAATGCTGAATTAGCTTGGTAGGTTTTGTGATGAAGTGATGCTTCTTCCAGGACAGTTTTGGGGTCATATTTATAGATAGAAGCAAGGTGGCTGATGATGCAGCCATACGCATATAGTTGGCACAGAAGTACATTTGCTGAACCGGATGGCCGTTTGCAATGGTTGACCAAGCCAATCGCTGCAGACCAGATGACAAAATGGACGGTAGAGATCAGCACAATGGAAAAAAGGGTAAAACGAGGAACACTAGATAGAAAAAATTAGGCTGCATTTGCACTGCATTGCTAATTTGCTATACTTTTCCAACACAACAAAGGCACGCAACCCAGTTGCCTCGCAGACGCAAGCTAAAATAGCTAGCTAGCTAGCTACTTCATGGAAAGATCAAAGATCAGACAATATATCATAGCAGAGTAACTGGAGATTAATATTATATCATTGGCAGAGATAACTTTTGTCTTGGAGTAGTAACCAATTAGGTTGGTCAACCCCAGCTTAATCCTGGGGTTGATTGACTTGTTAACCCTGAAGAGGTTGACATGTAGTAGTAATATACTCCCTCCGTATTTTAATGTATAACGTCGTTGACTTTTTAGTAATATTTGACCATTCGTTTTATTCAATTTTTTTTTGAAAATATGAAAATGTTTATGTTATGCTTAAAGAATATTTGATAATGAATCAAGTCACAATAAAATAAATGATAATTACATAAATTTTTTGAATAAGACGAACGGTCAAACGTTGGATAAAAAGTCAACGGTGTCATACATTAAAATATGGAAGTAATTAATTAGGATTAAGTCATATTAATTCTAGTTAGATAGAAGCAAAGACTTCTTCGTCTCACCAACCCCTACCAACCCAGCATTAGTCTGACTCTGATTCTCTTGGCTACGTTTGTAAGTCTTTCCATACGACAGATAGTACCGTACAGTAGAGGTTGTCTGAAACTCTGAATAATACGCTCGTGATAGCTAATACTCGTCCGGATTGGTAATACTTATTATTTTAAACAAGAACACGATCTTAAAAAAAATAACTTTACCATTATTTTTTATTATAATATATATATCAAACATATGATTTTATTAAAGTACTTTTAAGACTAATCTATATACGTAGTCACCATATTTGAAAGACAAATATTTTAAAAATAAAAAATAACTTTGACCATTATTTTTTATTATAATATGTATATCAAATATATGATTTTATTAAAGTACTTTTAAGACTAATCTATATACGTAGTCACCATATTTGAAAGACAAATATTTTAAAAATAATTCATAATCAAAGATTCTAAAGTTTGACCTCACCCTTATCTAAAACGATAAGTATTATCAGCCTGGAGGGAGAAGCAAAAATTTTCTTCGACATGGACGTGTAGATCATATCGATGTCGCGTGTTGTTAGGAAGATTTTAATACATTCAGATGAGTACAATTGGGAGATTTTATAAGATCAGCTGCTTTGACTTGTGGTTCAATTTTAGTTGTTCTTGCTGCAGCAGTGAAGCTGGGGAAGTCCAAATGGATATTCATGTATACTACAGTAATTTTTTTTGACCCTTCTTTCAGTCTTCTCAGAATTTATGCAGTAGAATCTAGCCACATAGTGAGAGTTCAGACTTCAGATTGGTCACATGTATATACATTTTGGTTGATTATTTGAAGGGAGAATAGATCAGACACATATAATATGCATGCAGCTGGTAGATTTTGACATTTACATTGGTAAGATATTTCTTTCTGAATCTTGCTGGCCTTGCATATCAAGCATAAAAAGGCAGAGGTAATTTTGACATGCAATTTTGACATGCTATCTCTGCATGCATGATTCCCTTTACAACTGAAAGTTCAATTCAGAAAAATAAATGAATTGCATGGTCTACCATTCTGGTTTCCCTTTATAACTGAAAGTTGTATGGTTTGGTTTTGGGAAAAAAAACATGCATTGCATGGCACTATTCAACAGAGTGGCAGACGGATGCAAAGACCAGGCACTAGCAATTGACCAGCACTAAACAAATGATAAAAATTATCACACGGGAGATAAGGAAATGTGGAATTTGATGCATTTTGACATGTCTCATATATGTCTGAGGCTGATATTATCGAGTCGGCCATGAGATGGGACTTCTTCTTGGAAAACTAGTTTCAACCCAATGACATATCTTGGACTATCAAGAACTGAAGAACATTTATTTTTGTCCTATTGTAGCCGACAGTCAAAACCATATGCAGTAATTAATAAGCTGTTGATAACATCTAAATAAATCTATATATATGCAAAAATATCTACCAAGTATGGTCTTTTTTCATCATATACTACTGCATAAAAAGTAAGAGTAAAATTCACTTTGTACCATATATATTTTATTTCCTATGTTTCACTTTAGATCACCTTCTAACCAATCTTTTCATTTTGAATTGGGTAATCTTACATTTATTTCACTCTGGACCACTCGACTCTCTTCTAAAAGCATATGAATGATCTCGAGTATGTCGGCTCCTACTTGTCAAATAGCTCTTATAGCTATATGTATGTAAGATCATTTATTTGACATATAACAAGTTGGATATAGATAGATAAAAGAATCGAGGGTGGTCCAAAGTGTCTCAAAGGTAAAAATACCTGGTCCAAAGTAAAAATTGGTTAAAGGATAGTCCAAAGTAAAACATCGGAAATTTACTCTAAAAGTATATACATATATCAAGTATATAAATATTGTGACATTGTAGTGGTTTCTTTCCGAAAGATATTTTGGTTCGCCACAGAAATGATCAAGTAGTTCTTCTCTGTGAATGACATCAATGTTTTAATTACCACAAAATTATGAACTATACGAGACTTCACAAATTAAATCCCTTCATTCGTACATGCGTAGTTAATTAATTTAGCTAAACGGATTAGATCAATAGGTCACATCGCTGAATATATACTCCTTCCGTTTCTAATATTTGACACCGTTAACTTTTAACACACGTTTGACCGTTCATTTTATTCAAAAACTTTTGTGAAATATGTAAAAATATATGTATACATATAAGTATATTTAACAATGAATCAAATGATAGAAAAATAATTAATAATTACTTAATTTTTTTAATAAGATAAATGGTCAAACATATTTAAAAAAGTTAGTGGCGTTAAATATTTAGAAACGAAGGTAGTAGGACGCATTCGTAGCAGAAAATACGACCAGAAACTCTTTAGTTACAAGCACAAACTGTATGTTGAACGATCGACTACGTGATTGATACAATTAATTAGATATTTATTGCTATAACTCGATCTAAGCTAGCGGCGGCAGCACAAATCAAACGTGAGAAGTAAAAATCGGTCAAAGTCGATGTTGTCTACGTAATCACCTAATTACTTTGGTCAAAATAATTAACCTTTACCTTTTCCCAATATCGCTAGTTCTTGCTGCGCAAGCACCTCCGCATATATTACGCATCTATGGAATTGGTAATTAACAGCAGCTACTAATTAAGACAATTTTTTTTAAAAAAAATATGGAAGTATAGCTTTTGGCCTCTGCACTAAAAAATATGTGCACGTTATATCATGGACATCAAGGTTTAAACAGAGCACACCAAAATTAAGAGGAAATTTTGGCTTCAAACCATTCAGATGGTGGTGAAATTTGTTGCATATGACAAAATTTTGTCTGAACGTCAAAGCAATCAGTCTTAATCTGCACATGGTTCTACTGTAATTACAGTGAAGAGAGTACACCAGTATCTACAATTCCATACATCCTCTTGTCCCTAATTGACTTTGATAATGTATTTGTGACAACTGAGACAATGAGACTAGTAGTATTATTTAGAGGACAGCATGCAAGAACAAAGGAGTAAACTTCCTTCTGTCTATATAATATGCAACAAGTACGCAGTAATGATCTTTCTAATGCCGATTTGGTCAAGGAAATATATCATTGACAGCTTCCTTTCTGGGAAGATGCCTTCTAGTTGGTGTAATTTTTTCAAAGAAAAACACTCGGAGAGGACAAACTTTTTGTGATCATTATTGTCTGTAACACTGTATGTAACTGAATAGTTCAATCAGCTAGCAAAGCCCGGGCTACTCACGGCGTCTACCTTGAGATAAACTCAGAATTAACAGTAAGATCAATGTGTGTTTTGATTCTTATTCTGTGATGAATAATTAGCATCTGTGATTATTGGTTTTTGATATTTGGAATTTATTCACGAAGTGGTTTTGGAGATAATTAATTTTCAGGTGATGAACAGAGTTTGTTGTTTTGTCGGGACCAGTCAGACTAGGCGGAGGTTGCCGGTCAGACCGGCTTGTGTTGAGCGGTCAGACCAGCCGGCCCGTGGTCTGACCGGCCGACGCTGTGTCGGTTTCGGTTTCGGGTTGTTTCTTTGGATATCCGTGATTGTTTCATGGTTATGGCTTCTAGATGGATACTATACGTATGTAATACTATTGTTTGCTACTAATGAGTCAAGTTGGGGATAGCTTGGTCTCGGAATATGGTTTCTTTGTTTGTTTCATGTGTAGGTGACTCGATACATCGGGAGAGTATTTGCGGTGATGGACCGGGAGTCGGTTTGGTGGTAAGACGATGTCCGTGGTGGTCAGATATCATGCGGGATACTAAGGCTAGAGTTGATGCACGTGGTTGGTGAAGATTCCATATGGCATACGATGGAGGTATTGTGTGCGTATGGGATGCGGAGTCGAATTTGGAAGGAGTCCAAATTTGATACGATTGGTTATGTAAAGTTTGTGTCTTGTACTAGAGGGTTTCCTAAGGTATTTAGGACTCTTAGTATGAGTTTGGTTCGTGGCTTTAGGCTGCCTACCTTATGTATAAATAGAGGGGGAGCGTGAGGCTTCCCGGTATCGCTTTTGAGAGCAATTGAGTTGCTAGTTTAGTTAGGGTTTCGAGTTTAGTCGAGATTTTTGTAAGGAGTATTGTTGGTGCACTTTGTAAACACAGAGAGAAGCAATAAAGTTGTCATCTACTTTAAGAGTTCTTCGATTTGTGTTTCATCGGGTTCGGCAGTCTAACCGG